TGCTAAAACAAACCTGATATTGCCTCATTGCAGCAGTAAGACCATTTTCTGATTTAAACTTATCCTCTACTTAATTCTTCTATCAGATATATTTTCAAATGAACCAGCTGGCAGCACAAGTCAATTGTTTAGTAGACTTTCTGTGAGAATGCAGGCAGTGTGCCAATGTCAGAAGAGAAGAAAGTCACATGTGAAAAAATTATTTCCTTATAAAGGTTAAACTATAGATAAACACTGTTAAAAATCAATTGAATTTTACATCCATTTGTCATTTAACATGGTGATTGTCATTAGCCAATAGAAAAATAACCATTTTATACTGTAACTAGTTATTCATTTTTACCAATTGGTTGGGTATATAAAATTTTAAAAATTAATTTCTATCTCTCAGCAGGAGAGCTATAAAATTCTACCACTTTCCATATATTTGTGTGACTGAGCATTTTCACTTTATTTTTGCTTTAAATCAAAATACAGAAATAAACTCAACAAGGAACCAAATTTGAAACTGTATTTATCTGGTGTTGAGTCAAATATTGGAAACCTTTGTATAAATAAAAAAAATTCAACATTGAAGTAAAGTTTCAATATGATTATAGAATGTTAAACATCTTCCAAGTTGCAATTTATTTCATTTAAAATGTTATTTATATTCAACAAATTTTGTAAAATAAATTTAAGATGAAGTCTTAAATATAACAGTAAGCTTGCCGAATTAAATCTTTTAATTCTTATAAAATGTCCCAAATAAAATGTTAGTAATTATTTTCTAATTTGAGCTTATAATTTTTAGCGTTTTCATAATCAAAGGTAGAATAAAAATGTTTAATTATAATTATAAATTTTAATTTGGAGCTGGGGGGCAAAAGTTATCATTGTCGTTGTGGCAAATAATCAATAATTCTAAAAGAATGTTATTATAAGTAGTTTATTAAATTACCCTGGAAATTCACCACACAATTTTTTGTTGTTGTTCAACAGGATTCAAAGAACAAAAAACATTAGGAATCATTACTTTAAGATAACATAACACCAAGTACAATCACTGATATTCAAAATAATGACTTACAGTAATAAAAAAAGGTTAAATTATATTGAGCATTACACTAAGAAGGCAGAGGGGAGGGTAATATATAACATTTTCACCAATAATAATAAACATATGTAAAAAAAGTTCTGATGTATGAAGGGGGAAATATCAGTTATACAGAACACTAAGTTATGTGGAATACATCATTACATGCTGATGCCCTGTAAATGTGCATTACACATACACATACACATACACACACACACACACATATACACACACTCTCTCTCTCTCTCTCTCTCTCTCTCTCTCTCTCTCTCTCTCTCTCTCTCTCAGACAGGATTTGTGTGTGTGCATATGTGTATACATAGACACATTATATATATAAATACCCACGAATATACACATGTGCATTATATATAATGTTTACATACACATATGTATATATAGGTATATAGAAAAAAGATGAGTGATTTTTGTCCATTTAAGTCCTCTCTCTACCAAGGCAGATTACAAAGCTTTTACCACATCAGCCAATAGTATTTATGTGTTGCTATGGCCAAAAAATTCATCACCTGGTAAACAAACTTGTGGTAACGAGCTTTGTGGCCAAAAGACACACAATAAACCGCATCCAAAGCTTTTCTAGTTTAGCAAGGTCTACCAGAGTTGGCACTTCTCAAGAACCTGGGTCACCTTCATGTTCCAATGAGGTATGAGAGCACACTGTCAATGTAGGTATAATCATCTGTACCTTATATCTAAATATATCACAAATATTTGTATTTTGTACAGATATAGAAACATGTTTTCATACAAAAAAAGTTAAAATCTACAGATACTTCAGCTATAAATTTAAAAGATATTTTAGTTATAGATAGGATAATGAATCTCTATCTATCATAGCTTTAAAGCAATATGACCTGCAAACATTATCACAGGTGCCAGGTGGGGGAAAGCCAATTTGCTTCAAAACTATCTTCATGTGCTCATCTCTATCTCTCCTCTCTGAAATTTTTCCCATAGGCTTCAATTTTCTCCTCTGTGAACACTGACCTTTCAAAGGCAAGTAGTTCTGTATAGGATTTTTTAATTGGTAGATTTGTTTTAAAGAGTTCAAGACAAAAAGTACCATCCGTGTCCCAGTTAGTCACTAAATTATCAGGAAGTACAAAGATGAATTGTCCCAAAGAGGACACAGAAGGCACTAAGGCTACCTAACAGCTTCTTCAAATATACTGTGCCTCAATTTCCATCTGGGATTAATGGTATAAAAATACCTCTTCTCTCCATACATCGCAGGGAAAGCTGGCAATGGATATTAAAGAGATTTTTTAATGTCTCAGAGAAAAGATGCCAAAGCATTTAAAACAAAACAAAAAATTATACTATCACTTTATTGGGGTGGGGAGGAATTCTAATTACCAGGGATACTCCAAGTACTCCATTTTGCAAGGAATATTGACTGGTTGTAGTTATTTTTATTTTTAAGCACAGGTTATTTCATGTCTAAACAAAATTCTTATTTAGGATAACTTAAGACACAAAGACCACTTCCTGGAAACAGCAATCTCATAATTCTTAGCCAACAGGGAACAAGAACCCAGCATAGCTCTAACCAGAAAGCTTTTTAATGCGACAGACATTCTGACGAAATTAGGCTTACTGGTTATAACTGCAAAGGTAACCACAACCACAGGTGAAAAGAAAAAATGTATTACAGTAAATTAATAACACACACATAAATTTCAAGATTTTCTGGCTATTAACAATCTAAACAGCTGCTACCACCAGAGGTCTAATTTTAAGGAATTTTGATTCAATGCTTCTGGGTCACAACCACAAATAAGTATGCTTTATCGAGGAGGTTTATAAGCCTTCATAGCTTATCAGAAGTATTTTTCTTTTATCAAAAAAAATTAATTTCAGCACCATCACTTAGTAGGTCCAACTGTGCAAAAAAATACAGCTTATCTGGGGATAGCATTGGCGGATTACTGTTACACTAAAATGCAATGGCAGTTAGCAGGCCCTTAGGTATAAATCTTTTAACAATTAGGAGTAACTGCCAAAACCTTATTTTAGTAAGACAAAGGGAAATGATGGTGGGAAAGAAACAACAAAAAGTCTCACATGAGATAAACCAAAGCACACTATTGGTGCTTCCTAAGATTTCCACGTGATCACCTCCTCTTTCCTACACTCTCTCCATTGATAATTTTATTCATACTAATAGCTTCAACTATGGCCTGTACACAAATGACTTTCAAATCTATAAAGTGATATATGGTCATTATGTCTTCAACAACAACTCTTCAAGAAACTTTCCTTTATCTCTCAATTGGTAATAATCCTCTTTTCCTTTGAATCTCAAAAAGCACTTTTTTTTACACCTCTCCTACACTTAAGATTTATCACATTGTATTATACTTATTTGTATATGTGTTATATACTAGACTGCAAGCTCTAAGATAATAAGGAAATCACATCTTATTTAATTTATAAACCTCTCTTCCAGCACCTAACACAGTTCTCTACTCAGGGTATGCATTTAATAAATATTAGCTTTTAACAATCAGTCAACAAGCAGTTATTAAGCGCTTACTAAGTGCCAAGCCCTCTGCTAAGTATTGGGAATACAAATACAATGAAAAGGAAAAAGTTGCTGCCCTCAAGGAGCTTACATTTTAAAGGACAAAGACAACATGTAAAGGGAAGCTGAAAAGGCATAGGGAGAGGAAGGTACCCAGCTCTGGGGCATGATTCAGTATGGTGAGAAATGAAGAGGTGACTGGCCTGGGCACCCTCCTTAAATGGAGGTTCTGAGAGAAGCCATCCATTCAGAGGAAGGGGATGTAGCAGCTGGGGGGTGGAAGGTAGGGTACTTGCAAAGTGTGATTTCCAGGATTGAAGTGATCTTCCAAGATGAAAAGTTTTGCTGAATGAATGAATGAAAGAAAATAAAGAGATACGGGTTCCAGTGATGGGGTTAGGACAAAAACACAAGATTCGAAAAGAAAAGGAAAACAAAAATGAGAGACAAATAGAAGCAAGAAAAATAGATGACAAGAAGGGCAAAGGTTGAAATAAAAGATAACAAGGAAGAAAACAAACTTAATAACTGGAGAATAGATATGATGAGGTAAAGTATAGAATCTTCAGTCTGGAAAGATCATTTGGGAAATAAGTTCAGAATACAGGAAGCTTAAATCCAAAACAAAACAAACAAAAAAAAATCTACTTCCTTCTACAGGAAGTCAAGTCAGGACTGACAAAAGGTTTTAAAGACCCACTCACCAAAGAACCTCGATATAGAGAATGAGCCAAGAGAAGATGAAATTTGACTTGGGAGCAAGGTTAATTCTCTGCTGGTTACACTGTGAAATAAAGTAAACTCTCTTGAATTATCCACTCCTAACAGGCACCTTTTAAATACTATGGTGAAACCAACCCAGAAATGGGAAGAAGTTCCATTCTTCAGATTATTAAACCTTTCCAAAACGTAAAGCTTCCTAAAGCTGAATGTTATCCTAAGGCAACAAGCATTTTGAGGCTTCTCTGCACATCACTGCATTTCCTAATTGGGCAGCCTCTCCTATATAAACATTGGAACCCTGGGAACCAACTGTCCTTTTCTTCTTTTCCCTACACAAGTTACCTTTTCAAATAGAAAAGTAATGTCTATGAAATATTAATCTCAGTCTTCTTTCCTACTTTCCTCAGAACACTCCTTAAAATCATAGTCATGACGGTAGACCTTGGTAAGGAAGACCTAGTACACATATAGTAGCAGTCTATGTGAATCTTTTGGCACAATTGTTGTTTAGCTACAAAATCAATGTAATGAAAGGAAATCAGTGAGGCAAAGGAAAGGACAAAAGAAGTATAAATAGTTGTAGAAAGTAGAATGTTCTACAGAACCTAAGTGGTAATATTAATTAGGTTTTCAGGGTACCGTTTCAGAACCAACCTCATTCTTCCTTTTTCCTTATTCCGCTGTCCAACACGGCTAGTTGATTTGATGTATAGGTGCCGATGCAACTCATCTATGAGAACCAGATGAAGGTTCATCTTCTTGCTGTGAAGCTCCAGTCTCAGGTCACTCAGTCCCTCTACTTGAAGAAGAGGGCCCTCTAAAGAATCTACTGCTGACACCTGGAAAAGGAAACCACAGTTACAAGTAAGTAGTTTTCCAACATCATGAATGAAAGACATGGGGAAAAATACCTCGCCAAAAGTAATTTGTAAAGAGTCCATTTGAAGCAACTCTGAGGTTCCTCCTCACATCCTTCAGAGAGGCAAAGTTGACAAAAAAGGAAAATTACAAATGCTAGAAGGACTAATAGAACATAGGCACACTAATACACTGCTACTGTCAGAGCTGCGAATTAGTCTAGCCATTCTAAAAACCAATTTAGAACTATCAAATCAAAAAGTCAAAACAACAAACATTTATAAAGCACTTACTATGTGCAAGACACTACACTAAACCCTAAGGATTTTAAAAAAAAAGATATTCAACAACTACATATGTACAACATATACAGGATAAATTATAAGTAACCTCATAGGGGAGACAGTAGCACTGATAAAGACTGGGAAAGGCCTCTTGCAGAAGAGAAGATTTGAACTGAGTCTTGAAATAATCCAGGGAAGCCATAAGGCAGAGAACAGGAGGGAGAGCATTCCAGGCATGGGAGACAGCCAATGAAAAGGATGGAGTTGGGAGATGGAAAGTTGCATGCAAAGAACAGCAAAAAGGCCAGTGCCACTGAATCATAAAGTATGTGGAGGAGAGCAAAGTAAAGCATGAAAAGGTAGGCTCCCAACAGGCAGCTTTGGTCATAGCTCTCTGTCATCAATTTCCTCTACAACTCTCTTCCCACTCTACATAATGTAACTCCCCTATTTCTCTGCTGGCAGTTTCCCATGGTTCCCAAAAGATTTTGCAGCTAAGCCCTTTTTCTGTAGAAACTAAATGTAAAATACCATCATTAGGCCTACATCACCAAAGGAATCAAAGAAAAAAGAGAAGGACCCAAAAGCACAAAAATATTTGTAGGAGCTCTTTTTATAGTGGCAAAGAACTGCAAACTAAAGGGTTATCTTCCCATTGGCAAAAGGCTAGACAAAATTATGGTACACAAATCTACTATTTGTGCCATCAGAAATTATGAACCAGAATACTATTTTGCCACCAGAAATCATGAAGGGGATAATTTCAAAGAAATGTGGCAAGATTTATATGAACTAAAAAGTGAAATAAGCAGAACCAAGAGAATAAGGTAGAAAATAATGACAACATTGTAAAGACAAATGACTTTCAAAGATCTGTGAACTCTAATCAACACCAAAACCAATCACAATTACAGAATAACAATGATGGAGCCTATTTGCTACCTACCCCAGGAGAGAAACAGATTCAGAGTGAAGAATGAAACACATTGTTGGACATGGTCAGCCAATTCCGGAATTTGATTTGCCTAACTATGTACATTTGTTACAAGGATTTTGTTTTCCTCTTTCTTTTTTTTCTTATGGGTAGGGGAGAAGGTGGGAAGGAGAGAAAACAGTTTTGTTCATTTTAAAATTAAGGACATTTTTTTAAAGGACAACAAAAAAAAGTCTATTTGCATGTGATGCCATGCTAGGCATGTTAGAGTAATTCAGGAAGACTTAGACCCTGCCCTTTAGGGGTTTAAAATCTAAGAAAGACAATTCCAACACAAACTACGGGGACAGAGAAAAATGCAAAAGGACAGTCAAAAAATCTCCTATCTATGAATGGATACAGATATGCAAAAGACCCTTAACAAATGGAACTATTCTATGCATTCCCCAAGCATATCTGAATTTCATGTCTCACACTTCAAAAATCAGAAAACACTCCCACATGATAACCATGTTAATCAATGTACAAGATTTTATTGAAACAACTAGCCCAGGGAATAGAATAAATAGAAGAATAATTCATGAATTTGCTAATTGTTCTCCTCTTAGGTGGCCACTAGCCAGAGTTTGGCCTTTAGCCATAATACATACATATGAAAGGCAAAAATTTAAGAGGTAGAGAGCCAAGGGAGTCTCAACATTGGACAAGAGAGGTCATTTACCCACTCCCCAGCTCTATCATTTTTCATGAATGAAGCAGCATTTAAACAAGGAAAGATGAAAGAAGAAGAGCCCAGCAGGTTAGAGAGTACATACTGCTAAGCATGCCAAGTACATAAAGAAATTTTGGAAAAGCTTTGGAGGCAACTGATAGCAGAAGGTGGAAGAACTCAGGTAGTCTAAGGCACCCTGCTGGAAACACAAATAGACTCTATGTTGAAAGTACTCCCTCTTAAGGGAGAACTATAGAATGAAAAGAAAACACTGGGGATGTGAAAAGGAACAGAGCTAAGAGATGAAAATCATTTTAATACCCTACAGTGCCCTAGTGTAAAGGAGCCTAATTTGAATATACTGGATAGAATTACGCCAAAATTTTATGTGCATTGTAAAGTACACTAGTGACCAAAAATGAAATCCACAAGAATATAAAGCATTCCCTCGAGTCCTGCACTTGGTTCTAGAGCCCTAAGGTTACAACCAGCACCAAAGCCAGTGATCCAGAAAAGCTGATGCGTTAGTGTTAAGTCTAACTAAGGAAGTAAGGCAAAAAAGAAAGAAGCCCATCTATAAACATGACCTCACCTCTCCTGTCCAGTTACCAAATCTAGTCCACTGCATCTCCACAACAGATTTCCCATCCATTCTCACTTCTCTCTTCTCATTGCCACCATTCTCATTTCAAATGATCTGGATTATTAACAAGAGCTTTCTTACAGATCTTCCTCCTTCAATTCATGCTTCACACAACTTCATACAAAATATATAAAGATTTTGTCTCTTATGCATAGTCCTGTCACTCCTCTGCCTCCCTACTAGCTACCAGTTCAATTTCACATCCCTCTGCCTAATGCATAAGAACTCCACAACCTGGCATTAACCTGATTTTCAGCCCAATCTCTCACTGACTCCCCTCTACATACTGTATGCTAAAGCAAAACTGGATTACTCTATGCTTCCCCAACACATGTGGTACTCTCCTCTTTCTATGCCTTGATCCCTATAGTCTTCAGTGCCTGCTATGCTCTCTTCCTTCATCACTTCTGATTTCCTAACCATCCTTTAAAGCCCAACTCAAATGCCAACTCTTCTAGATCCTTTCCATGACCCACCTAGCAGCCCAAAACTACCTTCCCTCTTGGACCTCATACAGCAGTTTGTTTGTTTTACAAATCTCTAACACATTTATCACATAATACTCTGAATTTTTCTGTGATCTCTATTGTTGTATATCACATTTTATCTAACATTCCTGGACTATAAACTCCATGAGCGCTGGGACTGCACTTTAACTTAAAAAATGTATTCTCTCTTCCAGTGCCTAGTTCAGTGCTCTTCACACGGTAAGTACTTATTAATAATAAATACTTGTGGAATTAATATTTTGTCTTGCAAAGTGTCAGCTTCATTCAAATGTCAGCTAGCAAAGACATTTTCCATAACTTCAGAGACTATGAAAAAGATAAGCTCCCAGAGATCCAGGATGGATAATCCATGAGCCCATTCTGCCTATGAAGCCAGCCAGTTTGTCTTCAGTCTGACTTGCCATTGCCCCCCGGCTACTTGCAAGCTGCCAACATCTCCAAAATGAAAATTCATTCAGTTACACAAAAGGATCAAACATTCCCCAAGGAGAAAGAGAACAACAAATATATTTGTCCTGGTGTTCTAGAATAAATTTTAACTCATGTCTTGGGCAGTGAAAGGAAGATGAATTAACCTTCAGTGACATCTAGATCCAGAAAATAAAAAATGATTTGGTAAACTGTCCCATTATGCAGCCTTATCCCTTAAGATAATCAAAGCCAGATGAGATTTGGAGCTTTAAAATCACCCCCTGAGCAGACACACATAATTTGTTTGGAGGAATTTGCAAGAAGATTTTTACCTTCATGTGCTCATGATCCAAATAGACAATTATGTGATAAAACACAACCTCCAAAACTACCCAATGACTGTAACAATTTATTCTAGGAATGATGAAAGCCCAGGAGGTACTATTAGTAACACAGTCCATTTCATGATCCATAGAACTTACGTGAATAGAGCTTCTGAGCCCACGTCTCTGCATTTCTTGAGAGATAAAAAAAAAAACAAAAATGCTACAACATTTCTAAAAGACCAACATTTTTCAATCTAGAAAACAATCTGGAATTCTGTGGAAAAAGTAACTAAACTGTTCCTATCTTGTGAGACAGCTATCCAACTAACAGGCATATAGCACTGTGATAAAAGACAATAGCAAAAAAAGCCTATGTGTACAAAATAGTCATAAAAGTACTCTTTAAGGTTACAAAAATTATCCAAGCAGATGTCCTTCAGCTTGGGAATGGGTAAACAAAGTATTGTGTGTGTGTGTGTGTGTGTGTGTGTGTGTGTGATGGAACATGTTATTGCAATATAAGAAACTCAGAAAAACATAGCAAGGCTTGTATAAACTAATGCTGAATGAAGAGCAGAATGAGATTAATGTGCACAAGGACTACAATAACGTAAAGAAAACAACAGTATAAGGCAGCCATACTTAGACTAATTGAAATAACCAATCTCAGGACCAGAAAACGAAACATTTCCATTCTCTCAATAACGATGAGGAATTATGGGATGAGGAATTATGAGGAACATGGCACATGCTGTCAAACACAGTCCCTTTGCTGTTTTAGTTCTTTAACTGCTTTTATTTTTTACATGGGAGAGGAAAAAGGGTAGGAGTGGATGGTAGAGCATATTAGGAAATGATTGTGGATCAAAACAATAGGCATAAAATTTTCCAAAGCAATTATCAGAAAGGTTGCCTGGCTGTAACAGCCATAATGGCATATATCATTAAAACTGTCAAAAGCTTAGAACATTTTTCTATCAGCTGATGAACACCATCCACAACTAGTTATTTCAATAACTTAAATGAGGTTTCAGACCACAAGGAGATACAGAGAGCATGATATAGGAAAAGTATAAGGAACAAAATCAAAATCTCTACCTATTACAGGGTAGAACCCACATCTGGCTATGGGCAGCCCTGAAGAGCTAATCAACATCCTAAC